CTACAGTAAGCGATGTCTTGTTTATAAAAGTTGAAAGTTGGTCTGTTTTGACATTTTGCTTGACATGGTTAGATTGTTTGTTTTCAAAGGAAATTCTCAGAGATGTGATAGAGTGACTTGTTCACGAGAAGTACATCATTTTTGCACACAATAATGCCCTGTCTCCTTTCCTTTTTTGGTAGAATGAAAATAGCAGCTTAAAGATTTTAGTCACTCTGACAATGAAGAGTAAAACATCGCAAACAAATAATTTTAGCTTCTGGCATTATAAGTTGAAGTAAACACTACGAGAAAGGGGTTGGCATCCAATTGTGAACAGTCTAAAAAATTACATTTTGGCTGCCTTGTGGCAAAGAGGATTGTAACCAACATGTGTCTCTTTAGAAGAGTTTCACAGCTGTTGGCTTTGAGATTCTGAGATATGCAGAGGTGTGTTTGTGGTTCTTTTTGTCTGGCTGGTTTTCCTCTTTCTTCTACTGAGTTCAAAATATGCTTCCTCGTTAGGCAAAACTTGACAATGAGGCTTTTAATGTCATAATATTCTACGTGGTTAGATCATTCCTGTTCTATGCGGTCACTGTCGAAGTAGGGTGTGTTGATGTATATCAGAGACCATTACATGAGCCATGCAAACTTATACTGATAAGACGACTTTTGTCAATGGACGTGTCTTTGGTTGTAATCAGATATTTGCTGTTTTTGTATTGCAGGTTTTGTAAGTTATGATAACCCACTCTCTGCTCAAAATGCCATTACTTCAATGAATGGTTTTCAGATAGGGACAAAGAGACTCAAAGTTCAGCTTAAAAGACCAAAGGATGCAAATAGACCCTACTAACCACTCTGGTAAGTGAACCACGTTTATTGTCATCAAATGACATTTGTGTAAGCCTACAGTTGCATAGTTTCCTGACCAGAAATCACATTTTCATAATTTTGTCACACAGGCAGCTTTAACATTTTAGTCTGTACTACCTGGACAGCACCCAGAAATCTGTCTCTGTTTTCAGGCAAAGTGCTTCTATGTGAAGTGTACATTCCCTTGATCAAATCACATATCATTATTTTCATTACTCATGTGAACCTTATGGTGCTCAGTTGTTGCCAAAAAATTGGGAGGACTGCATTCATTGGAACGCAAATACTCATTACGACTCCTTCAGCCTTGACTTGCAGAATGCTTGACTGTACCCTAGTATGGAGAGTTTTTTTTTTTTAATCTTGGTAACCGGGTAGAAAAGAATATTGTTTTTTGAAACATTTTCTCTCGTAGTACTTTAGCCTTGGTGTTCTTATCTTCCGCGAAATGAAAGATTTTGTGCCCTTGACTACGATTTTATCCTGACATGACCTTATTATTAGAGGAAAAAAGACAAGTATTCGGCGAAAAAAATTCCTGGAAATAGTTAAAGAGACGTTTAGTTATAAATAATTTATAAATAGTAGTATAAGAGATCTTTTCAGTGAAAGAAAGTGATGCAGATTTAAAGGAGCACTCTTATGAAACTTCCTTGTAATTTGGAAATCCGAAAAATCCAAATATTTTTACATAAAAACTGGAAATGTTCACTAGTTAATCGTCTCTGAATTTTTTTTCCGAATTGTCACGGGAAGATCGTCAAACTCGCGATTTTCTTTTGACCCGCCATTAGTTGACAGAGCTGAATAACGTATAGGCATGCGTTAGGTTTTGCCGCGGAAACGCGGATTTTTCGATTTTGAGTCGTGCGCATGGTTGATTTCCTATTCTGTTGCCTCGAGGCGTCGTTTTCCTTGCCGCTTTTCTTTTTCAGAACAACCTCCAAAAARTTGGTACACCCCCTAAAATTTTTCAAAAATTAATTTTCTCCTTAAAAGCTCAGGAAATAGGAAAATGCCTTCGACGAAAAGAGACTTCCTCGGTTTTAAATGTCAGCCCTTATTATTTTCCACTAATTTCGCTAAATTTTAGACCAAGGACACTTGAGCCCGCGTTGTTGACGGCATATCCTCTGACGTAGCATTCATTATTCAGCTCTGTCCCATTAGTTTACGTAATCAATTGCCAGACTCAAGAAGACTGGGGCGAGTTTTGAGCGTGACGTAGATGACTCATTTGACGCGCCAGAAAGTGGTCTTCCATATTCAAAACAGTATTTTGATCGTATATATTGCTTTATAACAGTAAGACTATTTCATTAAATTTCACGAGGTTTCCCTGTAAATTTAAAATTACGCCAACAGTGTTTTGAGTTATCTACGTCACAATGGAAGTGACCGCTGACCAAAGATAAGTTGGCCGTGAGTTCGAAAATTAATGGCGGGACGGTTTTCAAATTGTAATTTCTCGCCCTAGAATTGACTCTCCATTAAAATTATTATTGAAAAGACTTTATTTATCGCTAAAAATTCATATTATAATGAAATAACTGAATTTTTCTGGTTTTCAAGTTATAGGGAAGTTTCATAACAGTGCTCCTTTTAAACTAAACCCAGTTATCACAAGGGGAAGGGAGTTTTCGTCCATTTGTATCGATAGTATCCAGGTTTCACGGGGAAAGCCACAAAAGTGCACAAGGTATCATTGATGTTCTTAGCTGTTAGTTAAATTTGGAGGTATCTACATGTTCGAAAAAAGCGTAAAGATCATGGGAGAAGGATAAAAAAACGTCTATGTTTAATGGACGTAGCGTGGAACACAAATGAATTCTTCCTTTTTGGGTGGTTATTTTGTTTGGCACTTATTTAAAAAACTGGGTCCTACGACAGTTTGATAAACACTTGCTAAAGAGCAGGGTCTCTTACTGTTCTTTGACAACTATAACCAGTGTCACTGAGTTTGGTTTGTATCCCAGAAGCCTGAAGTTTTTGCTAACGTCCAATGAAAAATTTCGGCGAAGGATTTCTTGGATTTCTAGGTGAATGGTGAGAATTATGACTAGTGAATTACTGACCAATCAGAGCTCATTTGTGACAGAAATAACATGAGGACTGGCTATCGTAGAGTGTATTGTGGTGGTTAGGTGTCAGAGGCAAAAACTAAACATTTTTCTTTGTAATCATAGTCATGTGCTTGTAGTAAATGTGTGTTATTGTGCAGCGCCTCTAACACGTTCCCTCGTCTTTGTCTCGCCTAGATCACGTGACTATGTACGTTTGTTCGTCTTGGCGGTGACCTTTTGCGCATGTGCTTGTTTGTGTACCACAGTTGGTGACGTCACTTGTGACGTTTATACATCGTCACTGTTGGTGTTGGGACTCAGTAATACGTCACTGTGATGCAGTTAAACGTCGTTGTTGAATACGTAAAATCGGTGCATGTTAAGCGGTTTTGTTAACTAGTTTCTAGTCCAGTTGTGGCGTTATTTGTCTTGTGACTATTCATATTTTGTCAGGCAAGCTTACTGTTTACTATTCATAGAGCGCGTTTCGTATTTATGGTTAATGTTATCGTCCAGTTATGGGCTCTAGTGTGTTATCAGTTGTTGTGCAGGTTTTATAAAAGCCTTTTAATGTCAGTGAGGTTTAGATGGAGTTTGTACGAGCCTGACTTTTAAATAATAAAAGACATTTGCTTTAAGAATCGCGGTTCTTGTGTGTGTGTGTGTGTTTTTTATTATTTTATTTGAAGGGACAAAGATACACTAATTTAGAAGTAACGATGGCAGACAAAGCTCCGGCCTTCAAAGTATAGTCAGTATATTCTTTCAGTTTGATAAAAAATAGAAGGATCAGTTTCTTTTTACGATGCGTGTTGCGTGCATTTTGAAGTTGTGGCGATATTTTTGATAAAATCGGTTCGTATCGTCGGGAATCTGAGCAATAGTGATCCCGAACCTAGAAACTGCTCTTGCAAGGTCCAATCGCGCGAAAGTAAAACGTCGCTGAAAAGGGCGGACTCTTAAAACATAGAGGAAAAGAACAAGGTGGCAAACAAATGATTAAAAGCTGCGCAAAAACCCTTGAGAAAGTCTGGTCTTTAAGCTTCCAGTTTTGTCCTGGCCTTCGTATGTACGTTAGTTGCCTGAATCTACTTTTCCTTTGCTCTAGACGGCCTAAGGAAACTAGAGTCTTCAGTTGAGAGTCAAACATCACGAACCCAAAGTGTTTTTTCTCCACAATGCCTGTTAGGTCTGTTTGGAGCTCTTAATGATAAATGTTTGGGCGACTCCCTAATCCTTGTCAACTTCCATGCGTACAGAAATGTATTCTCTACAGAATTAATTCAAATCAAATCATAGATTGGCACAAGCCTTAGTTCCTTCACACGAGAATTCAAGTCCGGCTGACACACAATGCAGCACTATAACTGCCTCGACAACCGAGTACGGAGTGAAAGAAGACGCTTGCGTTAAAATTTGCTCTTCTCTTATAAATGGCGACAATAAATGCTACAAGATTTGAGCATTGCATTTTTCGCTGAAAATGATAAAATTGTTGTGAAAGGACTGCTTAGGGAATTCCTAGAGCCAAAGCACAGCAGCAAAGCGCGGTGATGTAGTAACAACTCATGACCAACCGTGATATATTAATGATAAAATATTTTTATCATTTTTGTATGGTTGCACCTGCACTGAGAGAGTGGATTTAACGTCATCGGGGAGAAATAAAAATGCAAAGAAAGAAGAGTGGAACCCACCAAAAACTTGTCCATGACCATTGATAGTAATATCATGGTGGGAGTGAAAGAGCGTAAGTTGTGTAAAGTCGTGTGAAGCACCGCAGCTCAGTGCAAAAGGGTGCTCTTCGATTGCCCACCACGTTGCCTTTTTGTTGCAAGGGAAGGTTGGTGCTTTAACGGCTGTCTTGTTTGTTTGTTTATTTTTTGCCGTTTAGTATCATACTGGTCCAATGGGTTATGCTTTGGAGACTGTTCAAGTTAGATTCGTACGCAAGTTCGCCTTGATTTATATGTGGAGTCAGATGAAATCGTCCTGTAACGCCTGCGCTTGCGCAGGTGACGTCTCACAGCAATACTGTGGTGAGACAGGATTGGGAACTTGGCGTGTTTTTTTTTTTTTTCGATTTGACATCAATATAGAATCAATTTTGCTCTTGCATTGGCAGTCGAAAATAGGAAGACATCTCTGTTGATACCAATTGCTACTTTAAATTTGAGAAGGAAGAGAGTGTTATTTATAGGTAATCCTGGCGCGGTCGGTGTTAACAATTTGGAGATGAAAAAAGATTTAATGAGAACTAGAGATGAACTAGACTTGAAGCAGGATAGAAGGAAGATGACAAGCAAGCAAAGAAAAATTTATGATGAAAATTTAATACGATGTAAATCAGTTACAATTTCAATTTAGCAAGATTAACACAATCTAGATTAGTGTTATGTCTTTTCATTGTTTCTTGCTATCATTCTCTGCAAGAATTTTTCCTTCAGGCCAGTCTTAAGACATAAAAACAGGAGCTAGTAGTATTCAACTGAAGGAAGACAATCTTCGTTTGTTCAGTCACTACTCTTTGAACATGATGCTCAGGGTTTACCTCCAGCGTTGCCAGTGAGCCGACACCTGACATTTTTTTCTGTTGCATTGCTTTTAGAGAAAGGCACGGATAACCCCCGGTCAGTCGATAGAAAACCGAACCTCCGCTATGTCAGCGCGCTTTGTTAGCAAAACGTCTTTGGATTTTCTCATTATAATCTCATTACACTAAACACCTGCCTACGTAATAACCACAAACACAATTGAAAATTTTGAATTAGAATCATGCTCCTGATTCATCGACCAAAAATTGTAAATGTAAGATGCCCCGGCTTATAGACGTGCAACATTCGCTTGCCTTCTTTCACTTATTCGAACTGTCTTTTTGCTTCCTCTACGCGGAAGAAACTTTCTTAAGAAATACATAAACGTGGCTCGAAATTTTGCAAACCTGCAGGCATATAACACTGGATTCAAAGCAGAATTGAAGTAAGCAAACACTTGTGTTACATGGGAGAAAACTAGCACCGTTTTGCGATGAGTGTGACAAGATTTGCAAAAATATATCAGGAACTGATTTCCCAGCCATGGGATAAAACAGACGTAAAATACAAAAATAACTGAAAGGATAACTTTGAAAACTTTCTTCTCCCTCTGATAGGCCAAAGCTGTACTTAGCAGTGAATTACTAACCACTATTCTTGAGCGGGAGTGTTTAGAAAGATTTTTCAGAGTAACGAGGTATAGAGTACTTATGCATTCAGAGCAACTAAATAGCAGAACAACAGAAACAAACCACATAAGGAGGAAATATTGTGGCAGGAGGCCGAATGCTAATGCATAACAAATAGAGAACACCCATATAACACTAGATGCGATCGTGACGGTCTTTTTGGTGATTTTTACTCGATATTTTAGAGGCATCGCCAACGCATAGTACCTGTCAATAGTCAGCAACAACACATTGCCGACAGACACCACCAAGGACGTACAACCAAGTACCACAATGATGTATCCAAAAGATGAAGCTGCCTTTCCAATTCGGAAAAACCACAAGGTTGCCCCGGGGCCAACCATTAACCCCACCATCAAGTCGGCTTCTGATAATGACAGAAGTATAAGGTTTGATGGAGAGTTTTTGAGGATCTTCAAAGGGTCTTTGTAGACTGCAATGATAACAAGAGCATTCCCCATCACAGTTATCAATGACAATGACAAGTAGATTAAGCCAAAAATCTTCCCTTGTCCTCGAGACTCAGGGGCTTTTAGCTCTTCAGTAAATGCGTCTATAACTGATTGTGCAGAGGCGTTCCAAAAATTCATGTGCCCTAACAGTGCTGCCATGATATTTCCTGTCGTTTTACGAGGCCGAGAACACGTAGAATTCAAAGATTTAACGAAGATTTATGTTAAACTCTCCTCTAAAGAAAGTCAACGAATGTTCTTTTGTTGTGGGGTCAGCTTTCGTGGAAATTTTCGATTTTCTGAACGACTTTGCTTAGAGTTCTCTATATCTTTCAGTGGTGTAAAGGAAAAGAGTGGTTGCAATTACATTTACGGTGAATGTTGTGTTCATTTGAAGAAAACTAAGATTGTTCTTGCGTCAGCTAGCGGAAGTGTTACGACACCCTTCAGATAGGAACGAATATTAACTGATTTCTCGTGTAATGTTCTTTTCAAGGGGGAACTCTTTTATTGGAGATTAGGTCAACTGTGGATCAATATAAAAGTACGGAAATAATATATATGCAAATATTGTGTATTTAGATATATAAATTTCAACATAATTAAACTTTATAAATAGTGTGACCTTAAAGCTGCTGCACGAAAGGTGATCAAACGCATAACGTGAGTTGAACGCAATGCCGTCAGTTGAACGCAATGCCGTCATGGCTAAAGAACAGTGGTAACTTGTCTGATAAAATCTTTGAATTAAATTTGTAGGGTTAAATTTTGTTTTGAAGTGTTCATTGCAAATTACACTTTTTCTATAAATGCTACGCCATTGGGTAATGATTAAAAAAAAAATGAAAAGCGAACAATGGACTTTTTGTTTGTTGAAATTGGTCGAAATTAAAGAAAACGGGTTTTTTTAATTGTTTTTCATTGAATCCAAGAGAATCCTCTCATGTTGCATGATAATGATTTTCTACATATCATTCTTAAAGGAAGCCAACAAGGTGGACTTGTTCTCGGCCATTATAGTCCCCACTTTATACTCTGTTGGCGAAGACTTGTGCCTCCTTCATTTCCCCAGAAAACCATGTGACCCCTCCCCCCCAAAAAGAATCTTCTACCACCCACCCCCCTCAGGCCATATAGCAGGTCTCTAAGTTGAAACGGCTGATACCGGCAGATGGGCTGAGTCAGTGATAAAACTTCTACTTAACGATTAATAACTGACGGCGAAGTTAATATTGCTGAATAATTCCCGAGACGAAGTCGAGGATATTACTCAACAATATTCACTTCGCCTTCAGCGAATAGTTGTTAATTAGTACACTTGCTCCGGAGCAAAAAAGCGTTACATATATTTTGTAACAGTTGTGGTGATTACTCGTATCAAGACTAGCAAGGAGTTTAAACAGTTTTTTTTCTTAATTCAATCAGCCGAAAACCTCTCATCATCTCCCCCTTGAAAAGTGTTACTCTAAACTAAATAGCATCTCTTTTGCTCTTCGAAGTTGCATGTTCTACTATCGCGTTTATCAGTTCTTCGGAAACATTGACAAATGCAAGGGAGCCATTGTGAAATTTAGCTGCGCCTCGTCATTCGCTCTGACGAAGGGCTAACGCTCGATACGTCAGCTTTGAAACTTTATGGTGGTCAGTTTTACTTTATTAACTCGTCGATCAAACCAAATTACGTTGTTACTCCCACCGACGCAGCACCACAGTTTCTCTAGAAACTAGACCCCTTTATTCGTTTTGAAATTTAGCAGGGCCTCGCGAATTCACCTGACAACATTTTGACCACAGTGACGACGCATTTCGTTCTCGATAAGAATACAGACCACGCTAAACCACTATCGGTTTGTTTTAAACATCTTTATTTTTAAACTTTGCTTCGAAACAAGCATACTGATGTCCTCATCGTGGACCAACTACAGATTTGTAGAACGTTCCAAGGGAAATCTTGAACGGTTCCGTTTCTCGGTGGATCACCTTTATTGGTGAAACAAATCTGAGCGAGAATGATAGTTCGATCATTTTATGTTTTTTTTTTTATTTATGTCTCATTCAATGTAAACTTATAAGATATCCCTCTCTTTTACAATGGAAAGGCTGTGTCAATAGTGAAAATGTGAACACATCTGATACAGGCAGATGAGCTGACTCGGTGGCGAAACTTTAACTTAACAATTATTCACCGATGGCAACGTTAATATTTTTCAACAACATTTATTTCGCCTTCGGCGAATAATCGCTCAGGTGCGTTCGAATCCTGTTGTAAATTCTGTAAATAAGTAGCCTGTGTACAGCCGCCCATCCCCTTCCCGATTTTTTTGAGGGGATGGGTTGGCGGTACACAGGCTAGTAAATAAGGAAAGTATTGCACATATTTTGTTATTTATTTTTACAGTTGTGGTAATTACTCGTATCGAGGTAAGCAAGGAGTTTTAACAAGTTTTTTTTTAGTTAAACCAGCAAAAACTTCATATCATCTCCCATTTTTACTGTTACGTAATACTTAATAGCATCTTTTGGGCTCTTCGAAATTGAATTTTCTATGATCGCGTTCATCACTTCTTCGGAAACTTTTATAAAACGCGAGGCTGCTAGTTTTGAAATTTAGCTGCGGCTCGTGAGTCCACAACATTTTGACCTGTTGTTTTCGAAAAGAGCCTGGGAGCACGCTAAACCACTGTCGATTTGGTAAATGTCTTTATTTGTAAACTTTGTGCAATACAGAGGACAATATTGATAATAATAATAATAATATTGATAATATTAATAGCTATCAGAGAGGAGAATTTTTATGTCAAAGATTGTTCTCATTACCGCAAAATGTTATGTACTTGATAGACCAGTAAAACGCGCCACATCAGTTACAAGAAATAGATCCTGAACAGGTCACCTCTGACTAGTTTATTGGCTACTTTAATTTTACTTTTGTGGATTGGAGTCACAAGGGCAAGGAAATAGGAGATATGTCTTCTGTCAGAATAAAAATGAGATAAACGCTTATGCTGACAAAGAAAGAGCTGATTTTAAAAGATTTGCACATTACATAAAATTTGTGATACGTGAAGTACAGATCAACCTATGGGCTCGGTTTTCGCCTTTTACTTCAGACTCGAACAAAGGCCCTCACGTTTATAATCGAATGCATTCAGGCAAGAAACGTTACACGTTTGCGGAGCTGGACACCAGAACCCGTAGACGGTCGCCGAAGGCTTTGTACTTCAGGATAAACACGAAGGGTGATTTCCGAATTTTTTTTAAAGAGAGGGGCATTGGGGCCTCTGAGAAACCGCAAAACCGGAGAAAAAAACCTCCAAAACCGACGAAAAAAGGCAGCAAAACCGAAAACCGCATGCAAACCTGACAAAACCGTACATTTTCATCTTTAAAGGGGTCAAAAAGGAAAACCGAAAACCGCATCAGAGTTTTCGTGAAAACTGAAAACCGAATGCAAAAACAGGTAAAATCCGCAAACCGCTCTGAACATCAAAACCGAAAAACCGAACCTTTTTGGCCTAAAAACCGATCCAAAAAACAGTCAAAACCGCAAAACCAAAAGTCTCAAAGCCCCCCTCTTTAAAGTTTCTTACAAAGCAGATATAACAACTAATGTATTTCAACAAACCATAAACCTTAACAAGATATAGCATTGAAAACACCAATAGCCATTTGCGAAAGTCTCTTCGTGGACTCTATCGGTGATTCACTTTGATTTGCGTGCTTTATCTTTGGTTTTGGCAAAGGCGGTGTATACCTCTCGCTGATCTCAAATGGTTTCCCAATGATAAGCAACGGAATATGTCCGATGTTAAAAACAAGTTTACATATTGTTCTTATCTGCGTTTTAGAAGCCTCTGACATGGTTTCGAGAGATGAATCTCTCTCAAAAATTTTTGTTACTGTGCGACCTCCTTTTAAGATACTGAAAACCCATGGCTTTCCAGGTACTAGCTGGGCGCTACTTATTACCGAGCTAGGATTGCTTAAATTGCAGCTCCCAGCATGCTAAGATCATCACCTTCCCTGATTTTACTTTAAAGCCTAGTGTAGTGAAACAGTTGCTCAATAACTTGTCCACTTTGATTAATACAGCTTTTGTTTCACCTCTTCAACAAGTGCATGAAAGTCTTACGAAATTTTGGAAACCTCCATGCGTATATAAATGGATTCACACCCGAGTTTACGTGTTTTAAAATTCCTGAGACTACGTAACTCAAACACAACTTCGAAAAATCGGTAAAACAGGGCACACAGAAATACATCAGAACATGAGTCACAAACCATGGCAAGAAACAAATTAAATAGGCGCAAATGACAATCGCTATTGCTTTGCATAGCTTTCTTTCCCTTCGAAGAATCCTCCGACGTTGCCCCGTTGATTGGTGTTGTAATTCCGACTTCTGGCCATATGAATGGAAGCGTTGTACCATCACAACGGACATTACAGATATACCAAGAAGAATGCTGAAAATTTGAGTGTTGTACACAGTTTCCATTATGAGAAAATATTGGCGTCGTAATAAGCCAGATGTAATTCCAAAGCTGAGGAAATATAACCAACAGCTAACAATCGCAACACTGATTTTTTCGGGTGTGACAACAGCTCGATATCGAAGCGGTGTCACAATGGCAAAAAATCTGTCGAGTGTTAGAAGGAAGACGTGACCGACGCTGACGTTGACGAAGACTACACCGACCGCAAAGTAAGGAATTCGGGGCAGTTTGTGGTGATACATGGACCAACCCCAATGCACGGCCGTAGGGAGGAGCACTGATCCAACAAGAAAATCGGCAGAGGCCATTGATAACACGATCAACCCAGATGGCGATTTGCGAAGCTTCTTTAGAGGATCTTTCCAAATTGACCAAAGGACCAATGAGTTTCCAAAGATAATTACTGGAGCACATGCAACTCCGAGAATGGCAAAGGTTAAAGATATAGTCTCAATATTGTCCACTCTCAGCCAAATTATATTTAAAGCTTCCTTACTTGTCATATTCCAGAAAGCGCGGTGGCCCACAAACGCAGCCATTCTCTTTCAAAACGAACTGTTCAAATTTAAAAAGCAGCTGATGTGAGGTCCCTTGTCTGATTTACAAGAGATTTGGGATTCGCCTTGAGGGCTCAAGTTAAGGAGATCCTGAACTTGGCAATGTTTGTAAACTGGACAAAGATAATGCCAGGATGGTGATATTTGTTGTACCAGCTGCATGGTAGTTAATTGTGTTGAGCACGGAACGAAAACGCTAAGGCAAAAGTTGATTGGTTAGAAATTCATCAAACTTTGCTAATGGCGATCTAATTGTCATACGCTATCAAACTCACCAGGAGATGGCTAAGTTAACAGCGCTCAGCTGCAAATTAAGCAATCTAAGCTTTTAAAAAGGTACTGAATTCGCGCTTAAAAAGTCATTAGGTTTCTTTAAAGGGATTCTCGATGATCTACAAGAGATAATGAAAGATTCAAACGTGTTATCGCTAGCCATGATCGTACTTTATTTAAATACAATTTTGGTCGCTGAAGAAAATTGTTGAAGAAAGTTGACGGCAGCAACCAAAACGTCCAATTTAGGTAGTATGGCCAAGGCAACGCGTGGATGTGAGAAAAGCTGTTTAAGTTATTATTATCATTATTATCGTTATTAGTATGATTCAGTTTTGGGAAGAGAAAATTTCAACTTCTAATGATGGCAAGATTGACTTGTGTGTGTGATCAGCCGCGTAGGTGAGGAGGATAAATCATCATCTACTCTTGCATTCAGCTGTCATTCCTTTTCGGTAATAAGGGAGAACAATTACGTATTTAATGCGCATAAAGCTGCGAAAATTGAACTTTGGACCATCTCTTGTCACTCTGTTTTACTCTTAAGTTTGAATATTTGCACTGGCTGTGAACGTGAGATTTTCTACAGGGGATTTTCTGTAGGGGTTATACTAAGAATAATGCCACGAACTTCATACAATCTCAACAATTACGTTATTACCCTAGCAGATAGAGAGATAAGTGATCGAAAATAGTGTGGTGATTTTGAAATAAGAGCCATAAGATTTTTAATTGCACCACATCGGGAATGATTTTCTGTCGTACATCTTAGATATTCTTAAGGTGATGTTCGCTACCCTGAGGCTTGTCGGTGTAGAATCTGACCGAGATAAACATTGGAATGAAAGGTGCCTTTTTTTTTACATTTGATCAGTTTTATGTTTGTTTGTTTAATTGAATGGTTGGCCTAGAGGACCAATATTCTTCGAAGGGAGGGCGATAGGAAGGCATGATGCTGATTTTGCAAACAACTGAGGCCGACTCGTTTGTTATACGAGTTTTTTTCCGAATGGTATTTTCTTAGAAAAATATGATCTATAAAAAATTTTTTCGGTTAGTTAAAAGTAATCCCGAAGTGTTCTTTGGACTAAGCAACTTTCGACATATTATTTGATTACATCGATATGGAATCCGATATAATTAACAACTCATTATTATATACTTACTGATTGTGTGGGAGAGCCGAAGGAGAAAGTATTTAGCCATAGTTAATCGAGGAGAATGGTTATGAGTACCGGCGAACTTCAAAGGGATAGGTTATTGTTTTGGTTTTTCGAGTTCAACCTCGCGTGACCGTGCATCACCTAGATTCAAGATGGCGTCTCGCCTGTGAGCGTTTGTATTGCTGACTGCACGTTTTACGTTTATAATATTACTATTCCTTCTTAAACACTGCTTGTATATATCTATAAATGAAGAAGGAATGCCCGGAGATAACTGCTCTGTTTTTGGTTGCGGTACGTCCCGCAAAACTAAAGGAATCGGCATCTGGAAACTTCCTGCCCCTCGCAATGCCGAATACAAGAAATGGTGAGAACTTTGGATCAACGAATTGACCAAAACACGCGTTGTAGATAAAGATTTCAAGCGCCAGATCGACAATGATCGTGTCTTTACATGCGAAAAGCATTTTAGGCCCGAGGATATTGAGATTTGTAAGTATTAAATGCAATCTTATAATATTAACTACACGCGATCCCAGACATAATCTGCGCGGTGCTTATATGCATAGCTTATCGATTAACTTGAGCTTTAATAAACTTCAAACCTTATATTCTAATTCTGTTTGTTTGTGATTGTTTCTACTCTAGTTCAATCAGAAAAGATGCGGAAAAAGAAACCAAAGTTTGGTGCCTTGCCAAAAATAAACATGCCGAAGCGTAGCTTCGCAAAACCAGTAAATGTGCGTCCACCTCGAAGCGCAGTCAACGAAATCCCAGAAGTGGCCCCTAAAAAATGCTACAGTGACTTTAAAGATCTAGTAAAACGAATGAAATCTTTGAAAAGTCTAAGTGAGTGGATCTTAGAGGCAGCAATCGATCGAATTGTATTGACAAAGAAGAGTTCTCTGCTTGTGTTACCAAAGATTCAGCTCACCATCGATGATAGTCTTGGTTTTTCTGTGTCTGTGTTTGGATGGTTTCTGCCAGATGATCATGCGATTCATCTTGAAACCTTGCGATCCGTTATGAACATCACAGTCTCTGAACTTATCAAGAGAATTGATGTTCTCTTGATTTGCCTTGAGTGAGACCATTTGAACTGTCATCCAATATCGTACACCACATTATACCGAAGTCAGTGGATCCATTATTCAGAGATGATTCTGAGATATTCCCACAGCCGGAATATTGGAGAACACAGGACTGTGAAGTTTTGTTGGAACATGGTGAGCAGTGCTGTATTTGCTACAAATACTCTCACAAGTCGGAGGTGGATCAGAAAGCAAAGCAAAGAAAGCTTGCACAGCCTGCTCATTTGTTTGCTCCATTCTCTCACACAACACCAGAGAGAATAAAGCTAACCCTAAAAACACAGAGGATTAAGTGAGCAGAACTAGAACGAAAGATTGAAGAAATGAAATCAGAGATAGAAAAGTCGAGTGTAGAAGTGGACAACCAGTTAAGCTATGACATTACTACTATATTGGGGACATCCAATGAAAATATCACTCCATTCATGGATCTGTTCTGGCAGCAAAAGAAATTGATGATGAAGAGTAAAACTGGTGTCCAATACCATCCTATGATCATTTGATACTGCTTGTCACTTGCTACCAAGTCCCCAGCATGCTATGAAGAGCTCAGGAAAAGTAACATCCTTGTACTGCCGAGCCAACGCACATTGAAGGACTATAGAAATTGTATACGACCCAAAGCTGGCATTCAAGAGGAAGTACTTGAGGAGTTGAATGTTATTACAAACAGCTACTTCGATATGCAACGATACATTTTGCTCCTTTTTGACGAAATGAAAATTTTGTCAAATCTGGTATTTGACAAAGTATCTGGGGAACTAAATGGTTTCCTTGACCTGGGAGATCCTGATATTAACTTTGGAATACTTGAAAAAGCTGACAAGATTGCAAGCCATGCTATGGTCTTTTATATCAGAGGTCTCTGTACTGAGTTGAAGTTCAGCTTAGCCTATTTTGCCACCGATGGGATTACATCTTATCAGCTTATGCCATTGTTTTGGCAAGCAGTAGGTGTGCTTGAGTTAACTTGTAATCTTTGGGTGATTGCAAGTACATCAGATCGAGTGTCACCCAACCAAGCATTTTACAGAATGCACAAACCTCTTGATGGTAATGCTGGAACTGAAGTGTGCTATCGCACTGTGAACCTCTATGCACCCAACAGGTTCATATATATTTTTTCTGATGCTGCCCATCTCATTAAGACTACAAGAAATTGTGTTTACAGCTCTGGTCATGGTACATGTACTCAGTAAGTCGATATATTTGAAGCTGTTATTGTGGAGATATAATTTCACATAATAAAATTTGCATTTTCACTGCATCCATGATAGAAATTGTATGATTTATTCATATAATTGACAATGGAGTCAAACATTTCCCTTACTTTTAGTAAGAGGTGAAATAATATAATCAAGCTAGAATTATTGGTATTTTGATTAGATAACATTAGCTTACATGGTTACTATGGTTACAAACAATAAGATTTTTATGTAAGGAGGGGGGTTGTGATTGGGAACTCGGTTGAAAACTTGGGTGGATTTACATTTCCTTAGTTATTCAAAACAACATTACATTTACAGAATTCACATAATGATTTAGGTGTAAACTACGATAAGGCAATAGTTTGATTTAGTGATTGATAGTAATAACCAATGTCTTATTCTGTAGGTACATGTGGAATGATGGCCACTGTATCCTCTGGCAGCATTTTATCCAGTTGTTTCATCAAGACCTTGACAATGGCCCAAAGCTGCTTCCCCGGTTAACTTATGACCATATTAAGCTCAGTGCTTACTCTACAATGAGAGTCAACCTTGCTGTCCAGATCCTCAGTGTTTCAGTGGCAAATGTTCTAAAGTCATTTGGTCCTCCTGACACCATCGCCACATCTAAATTTGTATACCATATTAAGCTCAGTGCTTACTCTACAATGAGAGTCAACCTTGCCACTCTAAATTTGTTCAAGAAGAACATAAGAAAAGTCAACCTTTCAACTCTCGTTGAAATTTAAAACTTAACTAAATAACTTTATAATCTTTTAATTAACTACTGTAAATAACTATCATTTACATATGTAAATCTATGTGACTTTTAAATTTTTTAGTGTCCCCCATTAGCTTATAGCTAAAAACAGACACTTAAATAAAGTTTTTCATTTCATTTCATCTAAATTGTGCGAAATGATGGACAACTTCTTCGAATGAATGTTTGCAACCAACATGAGCATGTGCGTAAAAGAAAGCCATTTCTCAAGCCATATTCATCAGTGAATGATCAACGGTTTGCCTGGTTAACCAATGATTTCCTTGGTTATTTGAGAAATTGGAGACCTAGAGAAAGCTTGGTAGGAGAAGTGATAACCCAGGTATGCGTCAATTTGGTTACAACAATAACATCATTAGAGTGCAATGCACTGTCACCTGTTAGTCTGGTAATACCCATGGCAGGAAAGACAAAAACAAGGCATGGGTTAATGTCTCAGATGACCCTGTCCCAAAAAGGAAGAAAACTAAATAATACTGACATTGCTGGTTATTATAACCTGTGTATCTCCAAATGAGTGTGTATCTAACTTAAAACATAGCTTAAACCTCAGGAAATATAAAAAGTATCAATTTCTGTTTTTGTATCATAGGGTTATTCATAAATATACAGAGAGGGATCTTATAATTTTATAATAATACATTAGAGTGAGCATACTTATTCTGTGAGGATTTTGGATTAATAGTTATCTTAGAGACTAAACCCTTGTTTTCTTTGTTTGATTATCCCTCGTATATTTTCTCTCACTGTTCAAGTGTGCTCTTTCTATCAGGTTTTTTGTATATTTGTAAATAGCAGTATATCATAACACTATTTTATTTGGTGTTTCATAAATCAATAGGATTATTTGTTCCCATTTATTGTTGGGGACAGGTTTCTTACTTATCTGTAAACAGTCTGATATATTCCATATCATTTTCATATCAATGTTTTCAACTCGCAAACAACGTTGGTTTTATCAATTGTGCTTTAATAATTTAATATAAGTTTTAATAATATAATACGTAGGGGCTGACTTTCAAACATTTGCCTCCTTTATATTTCTATTTGAACTGATCTGTAGCATAATTCCTGAAATACATATTCTAGGCACAGGGTCAGGCAAACTTATTATGATATTTTTTAATAAAACAGGAACATTAAATTTACTTAAAAGTCTATTTGTTGTGGGAATTTAAAGAATTTTACAGTAATTAGTCTCTTGATGACCTATTGATGTCCTTGCGAAGAGCTTTTGATTTCAGTTGTTTCAATCTCATTTTGTGTTTTTGAATAATGTCCTTCGCAAATGAAAAAGAACGCGCTCTAACATACAAACTACAGTAATAATATTGTGGAGAACATCTTTGGCAACATGGCTACTAATCTCAACTTCAGAGTCGACCAACATGGCAGAGAGAGACGCAACAACAGTTACATCATGGGTTGATCTTGAAATAATATTAGCTAAAGGAATGTTGCCAAGACTGGTATTATGTGTAGCTTCCCTGAAATAGTGTTCAGTTCTTTCAAAAACTCATTGAGCATTTCTTGTGATCTTCCACAGTCCACCTCGATTCAATGTTGTAGTCAATCTCTGATCTTCAGCAGTAGGACTGTCCCATTTCCCAGCCATTATCAGTGACACTGCCTGGTCAATTGCTAGTGCTTTACTTGCTTGTTTGTGCTTGTTATGTAGCTTAAGTAGTACATAACCTCCAATGTACTGTAACCCTCGATTAACTATGATTTAGCTCGAGGGCATGACATACGAAACGAGGGCATCGTGACCAAGAGCTCAATTTTTTCTTGTCCGGCGCGACCAAACTTAGTCAATAAGCATTCATATGATCACTAAAAAATTTTGAAACTTCGACCTTTTGTATGAAAGTACGTACTTTCATACAAAAGAATGGGTACGCCCTGGACAAAACTACTAAAAACATTCTATGGTGAAAAATTGTTCTTTTTTTCCTAGAACTAGAAACTCACAATTCATCGAGAAACCCGACTCACTTTCCCATTTGATTTATTTTTAGTTGGACACCACGTTTTCGGAAAATGCAAAAGAGCCGTGTGAATGCAGGGCCAGACGGCTTTTTGCAGACTGGCGTCCTGCCCTACACACATCAGCTTTCACTTTGGTATTCTATGGGATTGTGTGGGCAGGGCCGTACAGTCATGTGATAAATGTACTTCTTTTTTACTGAGTAGTTTAGTCACGAGAATTCAATGTTCGAACTTTTTTTTTTTTCATTTTTCAAACCTCAAAATAATATTCCAAGTGGAGCTTATGTGAGGTAAAAAAAAAAAGATTAAAAAAATAAATTTGTATGCTATTGTAGTTTTTGTCCTTTGTGCTCATCATTATGCATTGCGGTGATCACGTTTAGCTTTTACAGACGATCTAAGGGAAGGAGACTGGAACCATATCAGAAGCACAAATTCGAAACGTGCTGTCCTGAACGGAGAAAAAAATCTTGTGAGTCCATTTCCGTTGTTACTTGTGGTTTTGAATTCATTGCTATATGCTTGGCGACTTCCAAAATAAAAGGAAATTTTCAAGTACTTTTGAGTGCAACTACTAGCCTGAGGCTCTAGTAACGATGGAAGAAGAGATAACTTTCCCAATGTCTGAAACATAACTCTGTAACTCTGAAATAGTGATATAATTGTAATTACTGGTCATTGCTAATAGAACGTTTATGGTTCTCTCGCTCCGGCCCGGAATAAAATGTTTTGGCCTGTTCATTATATTATTCAGTATTAAAGATATGCATAGAACGTACATAGATGGACTGTTATTTCACTTCCCAAAATACGCATCAATAGAAATGGTTCTAAAAGCACATTGCACAGCTAAGTTTGCTGTGCAATGTGCTTTTAGAACCATTTCTATTGATGCGTATTTTGGGAAGTGAAATAACAGTCCATCTATGTACTCTGTTTATCAATCAGTTTATAACACACCACTGAGTATTCGAGCCTTACGCGGAATCATCCCTGATGATGCCGTGGATCTGAGAAAGTTTAGCCTTGTTCTAACAGATTTTAACATCAGTATTACAGTATTACAGTGGCTCAAAGTGTCATGTGAACTTTTGTCAGTTTATTAACTAAAACGCTGCTGAAGGACAACAATTAACAATTAGAGGGAATGAACTTTGCATTTGCGTCGATAATCTTTTGTTTGTTGTCATACATGGAGTCTATATTATTCAGTGTGAATTTCAATTCAATTTCCTTTGGCGCACATCCATTACAAGAAAAAAATTCGCTCCATAGATGAAGCGCTCCAGTCTACAGTTTTATAGGAAAGAGGGAAAAATGTTTCCAGTAATCCCTTTTTTAGAGAATCTACCTCTTCTGGTACGAGGTTCCTCTACGTAAATGTTATGATTTATTTACGCTTGTTTTGAACCGCGACATTGACCAGCATCCGTGACATGACAAAAACCCTCCCCTAAGATCCTAATGAGCGCTATTTATCTTTCACAATTCCTGGGTGTTTCGTCCAATTTATTCAAAGAAACTATCGTCAAAAAGGTTTTTGTCCATGGTGAACATCATATAAGCCGTAACTGATATGAATTGATGTGATGCCATCGAAAAAGGGCAACTTTGCAAACACTTTGAAGCAAACCTTTGAATGAATGAATGAATGAATGAATTTATCTAAAGCATGAATGAATTTATCTAAAAGTTGTGAGGGCATCGAAGTAACATTAGTATGGACAGTGATTGAATGTTTGAATCGGCGCAATTGGCCTCACGGGGTCAGGTAAATTGTTAGTTGATGTTACATGATCAAGCTGTATAGATTTTCACAAAGGAAGACTATAGTTGGCATCCAAAATTGACTAAGCCGGATATTAGTTGTTGTGTAAATGACAGTCCCATCTTAATGACGTCAACGAAGATAAAGAACCATATCACAGGCCTTTTCACAAATTGAAAAACGAAGTCTAAACTTACAATAGACACAGAAGGGTGATTAAGTTTTGTTTGTACATTTTCCTGGTTATCTTTGCAAAAATCTCTTATTCTGGTTTACTGCAGTATTCATTGGCGCCCCAAGTGAGGTACTACATTATTGCCCCTAGAAACTTCCAATATACTTCAATGAAACCGCAACCTCTTGTATTGTCATTGTCTACTTGAACTTAAAGCGAGCCAGTGTCAATACTGGGACGAACTCAAAATCGACTTATTATTACACGAGCCACCGAGCTGCAGACTCCATTGAAAAAAACAAAAAAACAAAAAAAACAGAAAACGAGCCGACATGGCAGCCGTTTTTGGCCACTACAACTTCTGGAACATAACAAGCGAGCAAGCTTTGGAAGAAGGATGGCTAAGTCTAAAAAACGTGAGGCCACTTTCGGCAATCAGTGCTGTTTTATCGATTGCGATGGCACCAGTAATCATATTTGGAAATATTCTGGTCTTAATTGCGGTTTGGAAAGATCCTCTTAAGAAACTCCGATCATCGCCCTCCAACCTTATTTTGACATCCATGGCTATAGCTGATCTATTAGTTGGCTTGGTGGTCTGTCCGATAACTGCCTATTGGGGCTGGGTAATATCAGCGCGAGGAGAATCACCACTTGATCTTTCTGTGATCTTTGCTCTCAACGTTTTCTCTGTAAACGTGAGTTTTGGCCATATGTTCCTTTTAACAGTGGACAGAGTTTTCGCCTTAATTACGCCACTTCACTATCGCGCAAGAGTTACAAGTAAAAGAGTGTTTCTCGCCAACTGTGCATGTTGGATTTATTTTATAGCTTTTGGAAGTACATTCCTCATGTGTCGCGATTTCTTTGCTATAATGGGGACCGTCTACAACTTTCAGCTTCTCTTCATGCTTTTGGGCATGTTGACGATGTATGTTATGATCTTATTCCGCTTTCACCGATATTCTAAGGAAAGAGCTGAAAGTCACTCAACCAGAGATCGTAACATTATTATGAAAAGAGAGAAAGATCTCTTCAAGGCAATTTCAGTTGTCGTTTGTGCATTTCTCCTCTGTTACATGCCGTGGTTCACTGTTCAAGTGTTGATCTACTTATGCAAAGCGTGTCATCCGCATCTACCATTACTGATGATTTCTTTCGGATTTTCAGGAAGTCTGACATACGCAAACTCGGGTTTAAACCCATTTTTATACACGTGGCGCCTTCCAAAGTATAGAGAAACAATGAAATACTTTTGGAAGCAAATCTTTTTAAAGAAAGGAAAAGATAACAAGTTAAAATATATATCTTAAAGCTTCTGTCGATGATTTAGTTGTCAGAAGAACAAAGCATAAATACACAGAATAGAGTTGAATACAATTAACTAGGGCTTTATGTCTGCCACATTTCGAATAATCGCCAGATTTCGACAAGGGAAGGGACCGTGGAGTTTAGTTGATCGCTTGATCGAAGTACGAAGTCAGTATAGCGGAAGATTTTCCTCAGCCAGACCTGGAGAGTGGTGAACTGTAAGCCGTAAAAAGGCTCAACAATTTAACTGTGAAATGTTCAGCAAGCAACCGTGGACGATAATCCTACTCTTGTACGTTGGATCAGAAGGTGATCTAATCTGCCCAAAATAACGAATATAAATATAGAGGCACGACCAATACAACGTAGATAAGTTTTAAGACGGAGCACTATATTTCGGCTGGCCAAACCAGCCTTCTTCAGGTCCCCCACTGAAGGAGGCTGGTTTGGCCAGCCGAAATATAGTGCTCCGTCTTAAAACTTATCTACGTTGTATTGGTCTTGCCTCTATATTTATATTCCTTTTTTTTTACGCTCCATCCAGCCAAAACGTCAGGGAGAAAGTGAAGGGAATGATATCTACATGTAAAACCGTGGTTCATCCAACAAGGGAGGGTGAAAACATCGATCCTAACACGACCTCACAGTCGGTGTTCAATACCGTCAATGTCGACACCGTGCTTTAAAATCAGTTATTTCTTTAAGTCAAGCTGAAGTCTGTTTATTTGGCAAGTTACAAATTGCGACTTTATCTCACCTTTAAAAATACCTGAATCGGATAGTCATGGAGAACGTAAGCATGCTTCGTAGGACAATTCTCATAACATTCATTCTATAACTCCTCTTTATACCAGGCAATAAGATGGGACACAAATCAAGTATCAATAGCAGCAGTTTAAAGGGTATACCAAAAAAAA